CATCCCTTATTGATCCAGCGTTACTACAGGAGGAAACCTAAACTAAACTAACATTATTTATACTGGATAGCTCTATCAGTTCTAAACTTTTCTCTCTAAAGGTCTAGTAAAGATCATCCATCTCTTATTGATCTAGTGTTACTACAGAAGGAAACCTAAACTAAACTAACTTTATTTATACTGGATAGCTCTATCAGTTCTAAACTTTTCTCCCTAGAGGTCCAGTAAAAATCATCTCTTATTGATCCAGTGTTACTACAGAAGGAAACCTAAACAAAACTAACTTTATTTATACTGGATAGCTCTATCAGTTCTAAACTTTTCTCCCTAGAGGTCCAGTAAGAATCATCTCTTATCGATACAGTGTAACTACAGGAGGAAACCTGTAGCTCTATCAAGAATTTTTAATGTTATATTCATTTTTCATATTTTTGTAGAATGTTCATTTTTATCTCGCACTGTTTCATGGCAATTTGTTTCTGGTGTACGCCAATGGCAGCAGCAATCAACTTCCTTTTCAAACAAGGGAAGAGACACTCAATGATGGGGCGTATCACACTGTAACAATTGATCTAAGTAATTCAATGTATGAATAGTTACCATCGTTCTCTCTTAAACTCTTTAACTGAAAACAATGTCCAATTTTCAAGACGGCAAAAATCTGAAGACTGGGAAATTTAATTTATCTGCGTTTCGACTATATTTAAGGTGGCTCGCTACAGTTTATAGAAATGATGAAAATGCGTAAACTAGAGCACCTTTTTGAAGAGATGATGCTCTTTACAAATCGAAATTCGTATATTATATATACAGCGACAATCAAACAGTCGAAAATTGCTCAGAAAAGTGACGTCACCACTGTTGCTATGGCAACAATGACGATTCAAGATGGCCGATATTTTGGCTTTGAACGCATTTTACTTTAAAAAGGTCGGTTACCCCCATTTTTTATTTCAGAAAACATTTCCTTATAGCGCAATGCACTATCTGACCAATTTTAAAAAAATTCTGTAATGCAAAAAAAAAAAAATTCTGTAATGCAAATTTTTTTTAAAATTTATAAACATGGTTTTTCGAAATAAATTTTTTTTTGCATTACAGAATTTTTTTAAAATTGGTCAGATAGTGCATTGCGCTATAAGGAAATGTTTTCTGAAATAAAAAATGGGGGTAACCGACCTTTTTAAAGTAAAATGCGTTCAAAGCCAAAATATCGGCCATCTTGAATCGTCATTGTTGCCATAGCAACAGTGGTGACGTGACTTTTCTGAGCAATTTTCGATTGTTTGATTGTCGCTGTATATATAATATACAAATTTCGATTTGTAAAGAGCATCATCTCTTCAAAAAGGTTATCTAGTTTGCGCATTTTCAACATTTCTATAAACTGTAGCGATCCACCTTAAAAAGGAAAAACAATTTAAAGATTTTGCTCTACGGAAACGATTTTTAACCGTAAAAGATTTACTTTAATTGTCCAACCTTTCGAATGAGGTGACATGTGCCTTTTCACTTTAAATTAGGCATGGTTCTTGCAATATGCAGTTGTTTGACTTTAGAAAGCTCCGCAAGATATTGTCCAGGTCCACTAGATCAGTATGGGATACCGATAGTCTTTCCTGGACCTCTAGGACGAACAGTTTAGAACTGATAGAGATATCCAGTATAAATAAAGTTAGTTTAGTTTAGGTTTCCTCCTGTAGTAACACTGGATCAATAAGAGATGATTTTTACTGGACCTCTAGGAAGAACACTTTAGAACTGATAGAGCTATCCAGTATGAATAAAGTTAGTTTAGTGTAGGTTTTCTTCTGTAGTAACACTGGATCAATAGGAGATGATCCTTACTGGACCTCTAGGACGAACAGTTTAGAACTGATAGAGCTATCCAGTATGAATAAAGTTAGTTTAGTGTAGGTTTTCTCCTGTAGTAACACTGGATCAATAAGAGATGGTCCTTACTGGACCTTTAGGACGAACAGTTTAGAACTGATGGAGCTATCCAGTGTAAATAAAGTTAGTTTAGTTTAGGTTTCCTTTTGTAGTAACACTGGATCAGTAAGAGATGATCCTTACTGGACCTCTAGGAAGATCATTTTAGAACTGATAGAGCTATCCAGTATGAATAAAGTTAGTTTAGTGTAGGTTTTCTCCTGTAGTAACACTGGATCAATAAGAGATGGTCCTTACTGGACCTTTAGGACGAACAGTTTAGAACTGATGGAGCTATCCAGTGTAAATAAAGTTAGTTTAGTTTAGGTTTCCTTTTGTAGTAACACTGGATCAGTAAGAGATGATCCTTACTGGACCTCTAGGAAGATCATTTTAGAACTGATAGAGCTATCCAGTATGAATAAAGTTAGTTTAGTGTAGGTTTTCTCCTGTAGTAACACTGGATCAATAAGAGATGGTCCTTACTGGACCTTTAGGACGAACAGTTTAGAACTGATGGAGCTATCCAGTGTAAATAAAGTTAGTTTAGTTTAGGTTTCCTTTTGTAGTAACACTGGATCAGTAAGAGATGATCCTTACTGGACCTCTAGGAAGATCATTTTAGAACTGATAGAGCTATCCAGTATGAATAAAGTTAGTTTAGTGTAGGTTTTCTCCTGTAGTAACACTGGATCAATAAGAGATGGTCCTTACTGGACCTTTAGGACGAACAGTTTAGAACTGATGGAGCTATCCAGTGTAAATAAAGTTAGTTTAGTTTAGGTTTCCTCCTGTAGTAACACTGGATCAGTAAGAAATGATCCTTACTGGACCTCTAGGAAGATCATTTTAGAACTGATAGTGCTATCTAGTATAAATAAAGTTAGTTTAGTTCAGGTTTCCTTCTGTAGTAACACTGGATCAATAAGAAATTATCCTTGCTGGACTTCTTGGATTAACTAGTTAATTTAACTTTAGTTTTAGAAGATACAGTATGTAAATAACTAGTTGTTTTAAACAAAGTTAAGTTTAGTACATGTTAGGTATACCAAACCGTGGTATAATTTTTTTTTGCACAAATTACAAGTCGTTACATCTGAAACCAACTCATCCTTTAACTATTTTCTTCACTTTTCTGCTAGAATCCAAATGAGTGTGGACACAAGTCCTAGGGAGACGTTGTCTTTGCCACGTAATCTCCCACCAGACGTACCAACACCAGTTCCGCTAGAGAATATGTACATTGCTGGTATTCCGTCATCCATTGCAATACCTCTGCACGTTCCTGTCCTGGCTTCGTTCAATGGTGACATCAAACATGTGCAAATTAATGGAGATACGTTATTTGATGGCAGGTAAAGAAAGGGCGGGGAGGTAGGGTTTGATTACTGGAATATTCAATTGTTTGATTGTCATTTCTTCTCGGTGGCAATTGAGAAGAGTGACTCCAGGTTTTCTACCGCAGACTTTTTTCAAGTACTCTGTTATTTTTTTCGTATTAATACTGGACCAATAGGCGACGACGTTTCAAAATAATTTAATTTTAATGCCAATTTAGTCAGGCAGATAAAAGGAAAAAACTTACCATGTCTATTTTTCCTTCATGTTTTGCCCTGAAGGCTTGTAAATTTGTAAGTACATAGAGGATATTACACGGCGGCGCGAGGATATGACTTTTATCTTCGTGTGGCGAAAACAATATTTTACAAACGAGCGCATGTTCTGTTTATTATGTAGTCCCAAGCAAAAAAATGTGAAATTTCACGCTCAAAAGCAAATTGGAAAAAGTTACATGATCGTTATCTTCACTAGTGAAGATATGGAAAATATCTCACTGTGTATTTTTCAGTATCTCACTCTCTACTATATAATACATTTCTGTATGTTGGCGGCGTTAAGATATCGTGTAGGCTATTGCTGACATTTTTTTTCAAATTTTGTATTAAACTATATTACAGTTAAAAAATAGTGAAATTTCAGATACATTTCTAATGCAAATGACTTGCATCAATAGAAAGCTTACAAAAAAACTACATATAGGAGTCTGAGTCTCTTATTTTGTCATTACAGCTCCTCACGTGTGTTCACATCTGCAGTCAGCGTGGGTGTGTCTGCAGCGGGGGTCGCACCCCCTATGGTCGTGCTTCCAACCGCTCTCCCCACCAATACCCCTGCTCCTCCGACATGCGGGGCCAAGAACCCGGAGAAAGTGCGCTCAGAGAAACAGGACGAGGTGCATTTCCTGGGCGTCGACAGCGTTCTCGCTCTCAATGTCAACCGAAGTATTGTAAACGATATGGCAGAAAGGTAGGGTTTGTAGTTACTTTTTTATACGCAAATATGTCATATCTTGTAGCAAGTCTGCCAACAAGTTGTGTTCGCACTGCTTGTCCCAAGTTGTCAACAAGTATGGGACAAGCTGTTAACTGTTAAATCCTTGTTGCTATTATCAGACATGTTGCAAGGTTGTTCCAACAAGTCCGATACAGTCATGATATAACAATATTGTTACAACCTTGTGTCGTCAACCTTGTAGCATTCTTGTTATATCATGACTGTATCAGACTTGAAAGAACAAACTTGTAACAATATTGTTGTATCATGACTGTATAGGACTTGTTAGAACAACCTTGCAACACGTGTGATAAAATCAACAAGAATGTTACTTAACAATTATTCGCCGAAGGCGAGGTGATTATCGGTGAATCACCTGTGTAATTATACTAAAAGTTGTTAACCGCTTGTTCCAAACTTGTTGACAATTTTGGACAAGCAGTGCGAACACCAATTGCTGACAGCTTGTTGGCAGACTTGCTTACAAGATTTGAGATTCCTGCGTCTGTAGAGGATGCTACTCACTGGAACTTTAGGGAGAACAGTTAGAACTGATAGAGCAATCCTGTGAATAGAGTTAATTTAGTAGATTTAGTTAGTTTAGTTTAGATTTCCTCTTGCAGTAACACTGAACCAAATAGCGATCATACATTGTACTGGATCTCAAGGAAGAACAGTTTAGAACTGACACAGCTGTCCAGTATGAATATATTTTATTTTAGTTTTCCTCTTGTAGTAACGCTTAACCAAACGGATATAGCTTGTATTGGATCTCAAGGAAGAACAGTTTAGAACTGGAAACAACATAAATAAAGTTAGTGTAGTTTGGTCAGTCAATGTGTAGAAGTTTACACTTTGTCGCATTTATTTTAGTTTTGTCATTACAATCGAGTTCCGTGCTCTATCTCCCAATGGCGTGTTATTTATGGCGGCGAATAACCAGACCTCGCAGTTTGTTTCGCTCGAATTGGTTGATGGGAATCTGGTTTATCAGTTTAATACTGGAAGTGGACTGGTGCGAATGAGGACCACAGGAACCTACAGCGTCGGCGGAGTCTGGTATAAGGTACACGTGCTATCACTGCATTACACATGTGTGAAGATCTCACATCTTGTAGCAAGTCTGCCGACAAGCCGTCAACAAGTTGTGTTCACATTGCTTGTCCCAAATTGTCAACAAGTTTGGAACAAGCTGTTAACAATTTATAACAACCTTGTTAATATTATCAGACTTTTCGCAAGGTTGTTCCAACAAGTCCGATACAATCATGTTACAACAGTATTGTTACAACCTTGTGTCGTCAACCTTGTTACATTCTTGTTATATCGTGACTGTATCAGACTTGTTACAATAATAATGCCATCATGCTTAGTACAAGTTGTCAACAGCTTGCTCCAAACTTGTTGCAACAACCGGGAACAAGCAGTCCGAAGAGAACTTGTTGACAGCTTGTGAACAGTTTTTTAAGAACTTGTTTGCAGACTTGTAGAAATGCTGTTTCAACAGTTTGTCAACAGTATGTGTTCGCACTGCTTGTTCCCGACAACTTATCGCAAGGTTGTTGAGCTCAACCGAATTGTTACAAGTTGTTCCAACAACTTGTTATCGTCCTGAAATTCAACAATTTGTCAACAAGTTGTGAGTGACAACCTTGTAGCAACTTGATGACATAACAACATTGTTACAACTTGTCGACAAGCTTGCCACAAGCCTGTTGCGAACACATTTGATCTTGTTGTGACATTTTTAAGTGGATAAATGGCACTCGGAGACTACATTCGTCTGCCTATAATGGTCCAATTACATACTCTGCCAAGTAAAGCAACACCAACTTTTGCTCATTTCTCATTCAATTTGCATCAAAATTTACCTTTGGGTAACGACGTTTCCATTGGTCATTTTCAGGTGGATTTACTCCGTATCTCGAACTTTGGTGCAATGGTAGTCAGGCAGACTAAAGAATATCATAAAAATGATCTGAACAATACCAGTAGTGAACGTTTCAATGCCAACCACTTTTTCGTTGGTGGGCTCACTGGAAGTGTTGATAATTCTGTACTTGAGGTAAACTGCGAAAGTAACTACTGTTAGTTCGATCGAAATTGCGCTGAATTTGTGACATAAGTTATTTACAGAATCTATCTGGATTTCTAGAATGCAGAGGCACCAAGCTTCTTTGGTTGTATTCGCGAAGTGGAGATTCAAACAGAATCCGTCAGTCAAAAATTCAATTTAAGGTAACTATGAATATTAATTCAAAAAACGATACAAGTGAATGAAATTAATCCAAATGTGTGGTTTCTAGTATATAAAGGTGTGCACTAATTCTGTGTTTGCGAGAGGCGTGCGCGTCACAAGTCACAACCAATGGCCATGGTAACATTGCAATGCAAAGCTTGTTTATGCTACCAAGGTTACTTTGATCGCAGTAGGAATTTTGCATCGGTAAATTCTATGTTTTGAATGATTTGTAATAAATGTTTGGGGGGAACGGACTCCGTGTTTAACACCAAAACAGTTTCCTCAAACGTTTCTTACAAATCCTTCAAAACGTAGAATTTACCCATGCAAAATTCCTACTGTGATCACAGAAACTTTGATAGCATAAGGATAGGCTTTACTGATGCTTTATTTATACTTTATATTTATTTATTTAGTGGTGATTCAATCCCAGATCGGACAAGGAATATTCAACCAGGACAATGTTATGATTACGTTCAACCACAAGTCGGTTTTGATGGTGCTGGTTTTGCAAAATTGAGTAAGATAAAATGTTCATGGATTGTTTTCTATTTCTCGTGATCTTTGAATTTCTTTGCAAGCAATGTTTACAACATGAGCGGCCGTGTTGTATCAGATATACAAACTCGAGCCGAAGGCGAGAGTTTGTATATCTGATACAACACGGACGCGAATGTTGTAAACAACTTAAAAAACGACTCAGCTTATGAGTTCATTGGCGAAGTAATTTTAAAAATAAACGTTGTCTAAGCCGAGAAAATCAAAGTTAAAGTTTATGTAAATCAACATGAATCTGTATCACAAATATACAGATGCGACACGCTTATGATTTTTCTTTGTGTTTTCTTCATGAATTATTAATGAGTTTTTTAAGATGAAATACAAATTCAAGCTTGTCAGACGTTGGCATTCTTAACGTGGATTTACGATGGATAGAAAACTACAGATTAAGTTTTCATAATTGTTATTTTAAGATGGGGAATATGATATGTCGGCTGGCAGTGAGCTGAGCATTAAATTCAGAACAACAGAGAGAAATGGCTTGTTATTTTATGCCACCAATCAAAATGGAAATTATAGGATGGTTATTGAAGAAGTTAACGGACAGGTGGGAAAATAAATCTCAACTCAACTTTTGAACTTGAATTTGAACCGAACTAAACTTACTTTACCTATCGTGGATATAGGGCCTGTCAATTTTAAACAGTTCTCTCTATTGGAAAAACCCTTATTGATCCAGTGATATGTAATATTACAGGACAAAACCAGAATTAACTAAACTTACTCTATTTATTCTGGATTTCTCTGTTAGTTACTGTACAGTATGTGCAGTTCTCCACAGAGGTCCATTGAGAGCCACCCCTTGCTGTTTGATTGTTACGACATGAGTGCCGTCCCGTTCACCCCTGAGATCATGGGTTTGATTCTCGCTGTGCACTCATGACACTTATGCGAATAGAGTTAGTCAACTTTCTACCAAAAGTCGTAGGTTTTCTCCGGGTAGGGTAGGTTGGGGATTATATCTCATAACGGCATAACTGACCATTTCACCGTAGCTCTGCCCGTGATCAGACATGATCAGCCCTTAGAGAAAGCCTTCGACTCCATCGGGTTTACCTGCGTCCCTCGTAATTCAACTTAGCTCTCAGCTGCAAGTAAGGATGGTTAACAAAGCCCCACGTTACCAACAAAACTCATTTGAATTTTAGATGGTCCTGTCGTATGTCCAAAACAATGTTCTCACAACACTGCAATGGGTCGATCCTGCTATCACATCTCCCGAAAATGCAAACAACTCCTATGCTCTATGTGACAATATCTACCACACTGTGAACGTGAGACGTTCCAATGCAGAAGTAGAAATGGATGTAGACCGACAGAATCCTGTCAGATCAAATATCACCAATGGTGAACTCAATGGAGCTGTCTATGTCGGTGGAATACCAAGTAAGAATGTCTAACTTTAAATGCCATGGGTAGTTCTGTCAGTTTTATATACCATGGGTATAGTTTTGTCAGTTATAAATTGTATTTCATATATAGGGTTCAGTGTTACTGTTAGAAAAACTAGGCATGTGAGTTATCCCACCCAATTCACTCACATATATAATTTAAGTGATAGGTCACCTTTGTTTCATTCTATGCTTACATTATCAGAACAGTGGTAACCTCTGAGTGGTAACTAGGCATGTGAGTTATCCCACCCAATTCACTCGCATATATAATTTAAATGTTTGGTTACCTTTGTTCTATTCTATGCTTGCATTTATCAGAACAGTGGTAACTAGGCATGTGAGTTATCCCACCCAATTCACTCACATATATAATTTCATTGCTTGGTTACTTTTGTTTCATTCTATTGCGAGGTATCCGAAAATGTGGCAACGGTAGAAAGAAGGTCTATTAATGAAAATTTGATATTTATTTTTCTTTTAAGGTGGCTTGCATGTGAATGTTGGCGTAACAGGTCAACGTTTCGTCGGTTGTGTTGAAAGTGTGCATATCAACCAACATGTCGTCGACTTCAGACACGAAACGTCCCAACAAGCGTTCATGGAGTTTGGTTGTCGTGCTCCTATTCAACCACAACAGAGTTACTCAGGCTTGAATATTTTTAGAGTTATGCTTTAATAGTATAGCTGTCGTTTATACAACTACTGTAGTCGTTGTCTGGACCTAGATTTGAAAATCGTCGTACTAAAACTACTCTGGCTAGATGTTTTTACAGGTTTACTTCAGTATATATATAGTCGTTAAATATTTTTATATTGAAAATCTTTTGTATGTAGTTATTAGTTTCGGATATATATGGCTTAGTGCGGAACATGTATTTATATGATTCGGAAAGTTGATTCAAACATTAATAGACAATTCCAGGTATTGACTAATTTTATATATATATATATATAAGTCCTATATATATATATGAGTCCTATTTATATGCGCGGTAAAAATAACCACTTTCGGCTCAAAAATGGTTATTTGTACCGCGCGTAATACTAAAATACTCAAAATTTGCTAATTTCACAAGGCTATATTTTCCGCATTTTACAACATTCGCAACCAAACTTTGCAATTTTACTAATTTTAGGATGCTCTTTTGAGCGCTGTAATGATATATTTCGTCTTTCTTGTCTAGATAAAAAAAATAGTCAATAGCTGGAATTCAGAGTACTCAGTATACTTTAGGAAATAGTTGTTAAATATTTTTTAAACTGAGAATGTTGCATGGCCTTTTTGACTCACGGATGTTGCGATCGGGCTGGAGCACGCGTTCGTTTTTTGCGCGCTTTTCTTTGACGGAAATTCCGGAGATTTAAAGATTCGGGTTTTTTTCGGTTCCAATGACGGAAATTCCGGAGATTTAAAGATTCGGGTTTTTTTCGGTTCCAAGTTTAAAGATTCCGGAGGGTTTTCGGTTCCAAGTTTAAAGATTCGGGTTTTTTTCGGTTCCAAGTTTAAAGATTCCGGAGGGTTTTCGGTTCCAAGTTTAAAGATTCGGGGGGTTTTTCGATTCCAAGTTTAAAAATTCCGGGGGGGTTTCGGTTCCAAGTTTAAAGATTCTGGGGGTTTTCGGTTCCAAGTTTAAAGATTCGGGGGGTTTTCGATTCCAAGTTTAAAGATTCGGGGTTTTTTCGATTCCAAATTTAAAGATTCGGGGGTTTTTCGGTTCCAAGTTTAAAGATTCCGGGGGGTTTTCGATTCCAAGTTTAAAGATTCGGGGGTTTCTCCATTCCAAGTTTAAAGATTCGGGGGTTTCTCCATTCCAAGTTCAAAGATTCGGGGGTTTCTCCATTCCAAGTTCAAAGATTCGGGGGTTTCTCCATTCCAAGTTCAAAGATTCGGGGGTTTCTCGATTCCAAGCTTAAAGATTCGGGGGTTTCTCGATTCCAAGTTCAAAGATTCGGGGGTTTCTCGATTCCAAGTTTAAAGATTCCGGGGGGTTTTCGGTTCCAAGTTTAAAGATTCGGGGGGTTTTCGATTCCGAGTTTAAAGATTCGGGGGTTTTCGGTTCCAAGTTTAAAGATTCCGGGGGGTTTTCGGTTCCAAGTTTAAAGATTCGGGGTTTTTTCGATTCCAAATTTAAAGATTCGGGGGTTTTTCGGTTCCAAGTTTAAAGATTCCGGGGGGTTTCTCGATTCCAAGTTTAAAGATTCGGGGGGGGTTTTCGATTCCAAGTTTAAAGATTCGGGGGTTTCTCGGTTCCAAGTTCAAAGATTCGGGGGTTTCTCCATTCCAAGTTCAAAGATTCGGGGGTTTCTCGATTCCAAGTTTAAAGATTCGGGGGTTTCTCGATTCCAAGTTCAAAGATTCGGGGGGTTCTCCATTCCAAGTTTAAAGATTCGGGGGTTTCTCCATTCCAAGTTTAAAGATTCGGGGGTTTCTCCATTCCAAGTTTAAAGATTCGGGGGTATCTCCATTCCAAGTTCAAAGATTCGGGGGTTTCTCGATTCCAAGTTTAAAGATTCGGAGGAGGGTTTTCGATTCCAAGTTTAAAGATTCGGAGGTTTCTCGATTCCAAGTTTAAAGATTCGGGGGTTTTCCATTCCAAGTTTAAAGATTCGGGGGTTTCTCCATTCCCAGTTCAAAGATTCGGGGGTTTCTCCATTCCAAGTTCAAAGATTCGGGGGTTTCTCGATTCCAAGTTTAAAGATTCGGGGGTTTCTCCATTCCAAGTTCAAAGATTCGGGGGTTTCTCGATTCCAAGTTTAAAGATTCGGGGGTTTCTCGATTCCAAGTTTAAAGATTCGGGGGTTTTTCCATTCCAAGTTTAAAGATTCGGGGGTTTGTCGTTTCCAAGTTTAAAGATTCGGCAATTTACAGCTTTTCTCATTCCCGGTTTTACGGATTACAGCTTTTCTCATTCCCGGTTTTACAGATTCCGGCTTTTTCATTGCAGGTTTTACAGATTCCAGCTTTTCTCATTCCGGGTTATAAAAAGATTCCGAGAGAATTTATCAATTATTTAAAGTACCTCGGATTGGCCAATCAGAGCCATAGTCGAGCTGTCAGTGCGTCTTGCTTTAGCCAATAGCGTGGCTGCATTTTCTTACACGAGGCAGCCGGAAAATATGAAATTCTGTGCTTTGGATAATATTTGGGCAACCTGGACGAAGGCAGCATTCTATTCTGGCGAAGTTGTTCGAAGCATTTGGAGACGAAAATTATGGCCGAAATTGCTCCATTTATCTCGCCTTTGAAGCGAAAGTCTGATTAGCTTTCTCTGCTACACTTATTGGTGAAACGAACAGGTAAAATACTCTTTATTTCATGTTTATTTGTGTATTTATTCGAGCTGACTTACGAGACGATTTTAAACACGTGGGCGAATTTGCCGTTCACGTTTAACTTCGATTTGGTGAAACTCCTGCTCAAATATCAAGCGTATTTCGTTGACAGAGGCTTTAAAAACGTTCGTATATAGCTAACGTTGCCTATGTTTTATTTTAGATGGAGTTTTTACAAGTTAAAAGCAGTTTAAACGTCGACAAAAGCTGCGTACAAAATATTCAATGCGACGTCTAATTTAAATTCCTCAAAGAAAGCAAGAATGCAGATTACATTTAACTTGGTTAACAAGCAGGTAATTAAGTCTTTGTTTCGTGTTTGTTTTGTGCAATTATACCACTTACATCTCAACTTAAAAGCGAGACGAACAGGACAAATTGTAAGATTCGTGTCGAATGCATGAATAATTTCACTTTGCCTTTGCGAAAACTCTTGCGCAAATACCAAGCGTATTTCGTTTAAAAAGCATTAAAAACCTTTGTAGATAGCTAACATTGCTTCTGTTTTAATTCAGATAGAGTTTTGACAAGTTGAAACGTTCAAACGTAGACGAAATCTGTGGACAAGATCAATTCAACAAAGCCGAAAGTTACGTTCAGAATTGGTCAAAATTGTCTCGCGTTGCATACTTGGCTTTGAAGAGAAAGCACGCTTAGCTTCTCTTCCACAAACACAGTGACTTCGTGGACAGAACAGGTATAAAAATACACCGTTTGTGCTTTTGCACGACATATATCTCTACCGA